CACACACACACACACACACACACACACACATGCTTGTGAAAACCGAACCACTTGAGAGCCACACCTGTTATGACATCCACCCAACCTCGGTTTGTTCTCCATCTCTCTCTCTCTCTCTCTCTCTCTCTCTCTCTCTCTCTCTCTCTCTCTCTCTCTCTCTCAGGCTCTCTCATGTTTACGAAAACCGAAGCACTGGAGAGCCACATGGAGTGCAGGTCCTGCACAGGTAAGATTTCCTTACTGATATGGATATGACAATATTCTTATTCTGTTCCCTCTACAGCACACAATCCTCAGTGGACTCCGGAGGAATATCTCCAAAAGAGATGTCCCTAGTGCTGCCATTAGTTGTAATCAGCGCAGGGCACACAACCCAATGCCCGCCGGCGAAAGCATCGGAGCGCATATTTCTTAAAAAGTTTGGACCATTTCTCTATTCGTGCATATCATCCTTTTTTTTTGTTGTTGTTTCATCCTTGTGCAGGGGCCTTGCTAATTGCCCTTCTCCGTATAGTTCCAATTTTCATGGTTGTCCCAGAGGACCCGCCTCTTCACTTCGTCTTTCATTCCTCTCTTAATTTTCTGCAGCAGTCCCTCATTCTCCTTGCTGGGCTTGCTGGTTTGATTCGTTCATGAATTTAAAAATTTTGGGTAGCTGTTTTTTTTCTTTTTCCCACAGACTCGCAGAGTTATGGTCGATTGATTGGACTGTTGTTAGGTGCACTGACTGAACTGCATCTTCTTACTCAACAGGGTTCGGAATGGGGACGTGGATCGAGACCAACAAGCCTCTCTTTCAAAACTTGTGAACGTCGAATTCCGATACATACCTCAACACATTATCTCTGCAGGCTGCAGCTTCGCCGCCGATAGGTTTCTGCTGCCTGTCTGGTGCACTCCGGCACGGGTGCTAGAGGTTGGGCACAATGGGTTTCTGGTCAGCTGCAGCATGTCAATCTGCTGCTGGGACTGTTCTTAGAATTGGCACAGTCGCAGGTCAGCACGTGGCTCTTCCACATCTGCCGGATATCGAGACGCAGCTAAGTAGCAGTTGCCTTCAGGCACGGTCGGATCTGCACCTGCCGCTGGTGGAGTTTCCCTGCAAATGCCAGAGGATCTCTCAGCAGCAGCGTAGCAGCTTGAAGCCTGGCTGTCATCGTGTGGTGCAGCATGATGTGTCCAAACGCACAGCTGCGAGGCGGATGTCTGCCGCAAGCGGCGAGGAGAATCGGGTGCTGCACCCTTTCGAGCTTCGGAGAGGCCAGCTGCAGCGGCCGCACAACTTCGATATTGGAAGCCGGGCTGTGACGGAAGATGGAAGCAGTTCTGCATTGTCCTCGACCGACTCGGTGGAGGAAGCAGGAGGAGAGGATGGTGCCGACGCCATGCCATCAAACCGGTTCGATGTCAGCAGCAACTGCGTCAATCCTGTCTTCCGGTCGTCGCCGTGGGTGGTCGATGTGGAACGAGACGCCAAGGACGTTGCAGTTGACAAGCTGAATGTAATCTTTCTATCGGAAGGGAATGTGTGCAGGTCGGTTTACGCAGAGGCCATCTTCCAGTCGATGCTGAGGGAGAAGGGACTGGAGGGGGAGATCGGGTGCACTTCCAAAGCCACGCGGGATTACAACATTGGGGAGATGCCAGATGACCGGGCGGTGGCAGTCGCGCAAGACGTGGGTTTGACAATCAGGGAGGGAGCGGTTGCACGGATGTTCGACCATGCACGAGACATCGTGCTGTACGACTTGGTAGTTGTCATGGACAAGTTCAACGCGGCAGATGTTCTCAAGGAGGTCTCGGTGTACGACACTATCAACAAGGAGGGCCGCTACTCAGCACGCGTCCGAAGATTAGGAGAGTTCTGCCACAAGCGAGAGGTCGAAGACATAGACGACCCGCTCTATGGGAACATGGGGGGGCCCGAAGAGGAGGAGTTACTTAAGCAGGTGTATCAAGACATCTATGACTCTTGCGAGGGCTTGCTGCAGCGGCTCCTGGAAATCCGCGCAAGCCTTGGACCCGACGAGTCCCTCAAGCAAGGATTTGCCCGCTCCCTGGTGCAGATGGAGGCCCTTGATTGGCTGGTCCCTCCAATGCTGCAAAAGCGCAACTGAATGAATGGGGACTTAGATGGATGGAGCGAAAGCCTTGCTCCTGACAAGTCCCTCAAACAAGGCTTTGCCCACTCGCTGGGACAGATCCTGGAGGCCCCCTTGATTTGGTGGTCCCTTAAATGCTGCGAATTTCAAAGGGCAACTGAGTGGATGGGGATGTAGAGATGGTTGAGTGACAAAAAACCTTGGAGTGGCTGAGTCCCTCCAGCAAAGCCTTTGCCGCTCCCTCCTGCCGATGGTGGCCCCCTTGATTGGCTGGTCCCATCAATGATGCGAAAGGGCAACTGAATGAACGGGGATATACTACCGATATAGAGATGGATGGATGGGGAAAAAGCCAGTCCCTCAAGCAAATTGAGGCCCTTGATTGCCTGGTCCCTTCAATCTGGCGGTGCTAAGGCGCAACCTAAGACTTCGCAGCTGCGGGACCAGGTGAAGATGGAGGCCCTTGATTGCCTGGTTCCTTCAATCCGGCGGTGCTAAGGCGCAAGCTAACCGATGGTGGCGTAGAGATGGATGGATAGTATATACACCTTGGTCAAGGGGTTGAACGAACCATTCCAAAAAGCTCAAGTGTATGATTACCCAGGAAACTACCGGCGGTCCGGCGAACCGAATGGTCTCAATTTCTCAAGCAGTTTGGCTGGCTGACCCTCTGCGAGACTGGCTCCACAGAAAACTTGAGAGAGGTTCAACACGATTCCACGCTTCTCTGACGGAGATCATGGACTCGAGGTGATGTTGTCTAATTGGGCTCGTCATCCGCGAGTTCATGCCAAAACACAATTGTGCACCGGGAACAAAGCTCCTCCAGGAGTCCTCCTGCTGCAACCGCTGCAGCTGTGCCCGTCAGACAGAAAAGCCTAAAGCCTTAGCGCAGTCAGTCAACTTGAAGTTGTGCCTCGACAACCACTGATGATCATGGGGTTGATGATTTGATGGCAAATGATCAAGCCAGCTGTAGCACGCTGCGCGCGTGCACACACACACACACACACACTTGCTGGTTTTGTTGATTATACACAGCCTAATTCCTTGCCCTGCTTTAGAGCATGGGCTGTTTGGATGTTTACGGGTGGCCACGAGTTCTCGTTGGGGGGAATGTATGTTTTGTGGGCCGGTGTGGAAGGCTTTTCCAGTTTTTTCGGACGCTTAGCAGGGGGGTTCGGTGCGTTCTTGCTGGAGGAGTCTTCCGTCTTAGGTAAGTTGTCTCTTATCTTATTCCTCCTCTTTGGCAGTGACGCAAGTGTGTAGTTTGCGATGAATGTCGGGAATGCCAATGCTGTTATATTTGATTGTTTTTGGTAAATGAGTTTTTGGTTTTGTGGGCCGATGCGGAAGGCTCTCCAAGTTTTTTCGTACCTTTGAGGGGGTCGGGTTGGTGCCTTCGTTTTATTTATTTATTTATTATTTTTAACTTCGCATACGGGAAACCTACTTAACGAGGTGATAAGACACATCTAGATGTGTATAAGAGACAGGTCTATATGTTATGCCAAAAAATAAACTGAACAACTTTTGCCTTGGGGTCGTATCAAAATTCGTTACCAAATTTGAGATAAAAAACAAACAAAATCCTTTATTTTTCTTACTAAAAGAATAAAGTGAAGAACTTTTGCCTGAGGGRTTTCTGTTTTTTTTTTTTTTTTTTTTTTTTTTTTCCAATTAGGGTCMAGTGCCCAAGGCAGAAAAACACTAACATACAATCTGTGACCTCAGGGGTGACGAGGTCTCCACTTCATCCAGGAAGCCGAGCCCGTCCCCTGTGTAAAAAAAAAAAATAAAAAAAAAAAATCTACTGTAACAAAAAAGGACCAAAGGAAATGTCCCCTGTATACCAGGCTGGGACAAGACGCCCAATGGTTTCTGAACCATTATACTCCAGCTCTAGAGCCTTGCACACTGTTGACTTGTTTCTTCCAATCTAAAAAGATAATCTGTCGCAAAGAGCTTCTAAGCTTACTAAGAAGTTGCAGTAGAGAAGGACAGTCCCCATTTTGAACCACTGCATTACGCTGCTTCCAAAGTTGCCAAAGTATAGCTGCTCGAACTGATTCAAAAACATACGTTCTAGGTTTGGTAAGACAAAGGATGACAAAGCCAAGGGATTTCTGTTTTTCATTTTTAAAAATAAAAAAAAGAAGTCAAAAAATAAAACTCAAAATATACGGTTGTAGAGCGCACAAAAACCTACAACCCCTTTTTTTTTTTTTCTTTTTTTTTTTTTTGGCCTATTATCCTAGGATTTAAAAATGTCGGGGTTTTCGGACCGCACTTGGCCGCGGGCGGTCGCCCGCTGCGGTCGGGATGCCGACCGCATGCAGTCAAATGGCCCGCGGTCACGACCGCGGGTGATACATAGCCGGTAAGTAGCTCCCGGCGCCGAAGGCTCCATCTATTGGAAGGGAGCTACACCTCCTGGAAATAGGGTCCAACGTCCCTTGTACAATGAGGAGAATGTATCTGCTGGAAATCGGGTCCAGCGTCCCTATACAGTAATGTGAATGTATCTGCTGGAAATCAGGTCCAGCGTCCTTATGCAGAGATGTGTTGACAGCTCCTTCTACCTTTTTTTTTTTTTTTTTTTTTGTCTTTCTACGAGGACACGAAACCCTAGCACAGATGTGATGTGTATGAGCTGAAAATCGGGACCAGCATCCCTATTGTGCGTTCGCAGGTCTACCTATATCTCAGAAAAGAGCCGAGGCATTGAGTACTTCCCTGCGTACAGCAAGGATTGACCTCCAGCCCATGAAGTATTATCCTAACAAAATGCATGTTCATGAATCGCCCAACAAAGAAGTCAAAGCAAAGCACGAAACCCTAAATTGCCCACCTCCCCTTGGGGGCCATCGTCAAAACATGTCTATCTTATGTTTATCAATCAAAATATGTCATCCGAGGGGGAAACCCTAAACCCCTGTATCAACCATATAAGCCAGATCTCCATCATGACGCCGAGCAGAGGCTGATCGCCCTTCTTGATTGAAATTGCTGGTCGGGCAAATTCAGTCACTTCAACTATCCTACCCCCGCCCTGAGCCGGACAGCAAGAAGCAATTCCATATCAAGATTGGAGGGGGGAAGAATAGAACACCACTTTGTTTCAGCTTGAATCCCCTTCCCACTGTCCATGTCAGATCCTGGATTCTCACTCACCATTCTGATGATGAAATTGGTTGCACGGTCACTGCTGCCAGTCCCGCTGTCACCGTGGTCATCGTTGTTGTTTTTTTTTTTTTTGTTGTTGTCCTTGCTGTTGCTTTTACCGTCATCCCCGACCGCGCTGTCGTTGTTGAAGCTGTTGTTATTGCTGTTGTCATTGTCATTGTTGTTGTTGATGCTGTCACCGTTGTTGTTGTCGCTGTGACCGTTGTTGTTGTCGTTGTTGTGGTTGTTGTGGTTGTTGTTGTTGTTGTTGTTGCTGTTGTTGCTGTGGCCGTTATTGTTGTCGTTGTTGTTGTTGTTGTTGTTGTTGTTGTTGTTACTGTTGTTGTTGTTGATGCTGACGCCGGAGTTATCTTTGTCTTCCTTCGCTCCATCCTCCTGCCAGTCCTCATTCTCCATGTCGTTATCGCCCTCCAGCCGCTCCTCAAGCATATAGCACAGGTTGTGACCCTTAGTGAAGAGGGCATAGCAGGTAGACATCATGCCATCTGCCCTCCTCCAATCGATGCAGGTTTCAAGCTGGGGATCCGGCCCCTCCTCCAGCTCCCAGATAATATCCAGGATGTCGTCAGTCATATCTTTCAACCAATCAGCCAGAGAAATCGCTCCCCCTTTGACCTTCGGCTCCTCATGCAACCGCAAAGACAGCTCCCCCACAATCGCGTGTAACCGTCTGCATCCCTTCTCCAAGGTCATCAGCCATTTGTCTGCTCGACGTTGTAGCTCCCCCCCCAACTCCATCTCTTACCCAGCTAGCTGCGCCCCTCTTGTGTTTCTGTGTCGACCTCACAGCTGGAGCTACCCCTGCCCGTGCGTCGCGGGGGTTAGTGCCTTCTTGCTGGAGTAGTCTTCTGTCTTAGGTAAGTTGCCTTCTGCCCTCCATCCCCTTATGGTTTGATAAGTTGCCTTCTGCCCTCCATCCCCTTATGGTTTGATAAGTTGCCTTCTGCCCTCCATCCCCTTATGGTTTGAAATATATATGTAGACATATATATATGTGCAAGTGTGCCACTTTGGCGGCAGACGGGTGCGTGGGCACTTGCCTATCTATATTTTTTCGTTATGGATGGCTTGTGATGATTTGTGAAGGGAATGAGAGAGAGAATCTGGCGTCTATTAAAACAACACACACACACACACACACACACACCTGTTTGGAGTTGTGGCCATGGTATCTTCACGAGGAGGCTCAGACAGTCTCTGCTGTGGGTGTCACCCCCATGGGCTGCTCTTTTGGAGCACGTGGAAGATTGGGGCACTGCTATGGTGTTTTAAGCAGTAAGTCTCCGGACCTAGTGTCGCATGGAGATTATGTGGAGTTATTTTGTGGCTTTGTGGGCTGACTTGGAGGGATCTTCCAATTCTTTCGGACCATTGGAGTTTCTGGTCGGTGCTTTCTTGTTTGGTTGTGCCTTCTGTGTTGTGGTGCACTTTCTTTTGTGGTCCGTGCAATGTACTTGTTAAGGATGTTGCCTTTTGTCCCTCACCGATGTATCCACGAATGTTTGGGTCTATGCCGGGTATGTAATTTTGAGGACCGAGCGCCGAGCTGGAGTTGTAAGGTGAGTGAGCACTTGGCCCTTCCCACTCCCTTTTTTCCTTGGATTGAACAAATATATCTATATATTTAACCACAACCTGGGTTAAGGTGGATTATCACTTAAACTGTAATCAGTTAGAGGATTCTGCAGACTGTTGAGGGTTCAGCCGATTAGCTCAGTGGGTAGAGCACCGGTTGGAATTGGGCATTGTGGTATAATAAGGTTGTGGGTTCAAAACTCAATGACAACCTTGTGCAGTTCTGCCGGCAGGCCTTGTCCGACACACGACTGTACGTATTGTCCTCTGGCCGTTACACGGTTATGAATACCGACCTTGCCTGTAACGGTCTGGGGAATCAGTCCTGGTTGTTGTATGCTGGATTCGGCCTTCGTAGGCTCTTGAGGATGTTGGCTAATGGCTCACTGTTGATCTCTCCCACTCGTAATATTGCTTAGTACATTCAGTAGTATTTCACAATCACACACAATAGGTCGTGGTATCAAGTCTGGTTCTGTGTTTCCCGCACATACGTACATCCACTTCGCATGATTACATGGTCACTCAATAATATCATGTCTCACTTCCACTTACAGTCATAGTATGGAGTCCTGTAGGTACATCCATATATATAAAGTTATAAACTCCCGGGCGGGGGAGACCAATTCTTAGTAGTAGTTCTCATGGGGTAAGTTGTACAGGCCATACAGGCCACGGGGGGTTCGCACTAGCTCATATGTAATACCTACTTGGGACTGGGTGGGAGACTGATTCTTGGGTCACCTACTTGGGACTGGGTAGGTATTACATATGAGCTAGTGGTCACACACCAGTGGGTGTGTGACCACTTCTCACTCAACCACACAAACGTGGGGAACCTTGCATTTTCTTTTGTATTGCCTGTTTGTACTCCTTTTGTTTTATGGATGGTTTGTGCTGGCTTGTAGATGGAATAAGAGAGAGAGTTTGGGGTTTCTTCACCACACACACACACACACACAGACAGTCATGCTTTTTTTGAGTGTATGGCGAATATGACAACACACATTGTATGCGATTATTGGTGCTCTGCAGTGGCCAAACAGGGCGCTTGGTTGCTTGCTCTGATGCTCCAATCTGTTATCAACTCTCTCTCTCTCTCTCTCTCTCTCTCTCTCTCTCTCTCTCTCTCCAGGATCACAAACAATCAAGGGGAAAAGAATAACCGGACTGACGCTCCCCAGAACTATGAATCCCTCGCGGCCGCGGCCATGAGGCCGCGGTCATGACCGCATCAGCCGCGGTCTTCGGCGGCCCGCCACGGCTGAGGGGAGAGGGGGTTGGGGAAGGGGGTTGCCGATTGAGGTTCCGGAACCCCGACCCCACCCCCTTGAACAACTCATGGCCGCGGTCATG